TATATATATATATATATATATATATACGCTCAAAAAGTATGCAAACTTCATGTTTTCAAGACGTCAAACTTAGTATGATATTCCTCTTACTTGTAAATGTACAACAAACTTTCTGCACACAATTCAGTGCTTTCTGAATATGCTTCTCTGAGTGTCACCTTTATTGATAAGACTAAGGGAAGCACTGAGCCGAAATTAAATCTTTGATGTAAAAAAAATTTTTTTTGTTTGTTTCGCCCACAAATTTAAGTACCAGTCCTAAGTACAATAAATAAAACGATTGGTATAAGGAACCGCGCTAAGCTACAAACCAAACATATTGATACAATACTACCCGGGTACTTCCCGGGAAGCTGAGAATGTTTCGGAGTGTTCTATGGTCTGCTGGGGTAATAAAATAGTGTAAAGCGCATAGAGCCTGCTGTTGAGCGGGGATATGCGCTATACAAATGCTATCAATTATTATTATTACCCCCCTCCCCTCTTCAAATCGGGCCCTTTTCATCGGTTTTTTAAATTCTTTTTCTCTTTTGCCTCTTGTCACGCTTGCGCATTGCTGCACTTCTTCACAAACATTCAAAGAACTCACAGTATTACCCTAGAACAATCTATTCCAGCGACGAAGAAGAAATAGCGACGTTTTAGTATAAAAACTTTTGACCCACAGGGACTGTGGCACGAGAGGGATTTATACCTATCCTTTTTTTTAAAACCAGATTTCAAAATCTGGAATTTGTTTCCACTGTTGCCCTTAAGAATAGTGACTCAGTATATAGTTTTATTTTTACCATATATTGTTGTCGTGTATTGCTTTAACCAGGACCATAAATTCAGAAAAAATAACGATGAGAATAATAATATACTCTGTCCCATCGAGTTGTACATTGTAGCTCCGACTCCACGACTGTATTACAAGGGTTGATACTTGATTTGCCCTTTCATTATTTTGATTGCTTGGATTTATACGGCTCAGCTGCGAATCGATAATGCCGTCTCCCCTTATGGTAGAAGGGATTTTGGTGATTTTGGAGGTGGGTGGATGAGAGGAAGGAAAATGGAGATTTGTTTTGGGGGATGTTAAAATTATTTTTTTTGTCCAAAGTTCTTTGTATATACGTGCGTGTTCAAAATTACCTAAATAGTCCTAGATAGCGCACTGACATGGCGGCTGTTCTTTGCTCTCTGTAAGAGACCACGCCATTTTACCCAAATGCCATAGACCGTGCCATTATACCCGGTCAAATGAAGGACGAAAGAACAGTCTTGCTATAGGTCTACTCGACTATA